GTCTGACTCTGCCACTGTTTCATGAAAGCAGCCCTAGACTCCATGTTAATGGTGGGTCTGGCTGGATTCCAATAAAACTTTATTTGTGGACACAAGGGAGGCATTTGATAAATACTTGTTGCATGAATTAAGGAAGGGGTGACGAGTGCCAAGGTCATGGCAAGTGTTCAATAAATGTCATCTGTCCTTCCCTTCCCTCCCAAATGCACTCAGCATTGCTAAATAAATATAAAAGTAATGGCTCTTTAAGCTGCTAAATGCCAGGAGGTCTCACTATGTGTAGGGTCTACTCAGCCCCTGTGTGCTTCCTTGGGTCCATGAACAAGACTAATGGCTGCTTTCTAACACACTGATGCAATGCGTCATTCCCTCCCTCCCATATTTTTCTTGCAGGATTTCAAAACTGTGCAGGTGACCACCTAGTAATACTGAGTGATGTTTTCCACAAGCAATTCCATTTTGATAACTGGCCAATTTTCTAATATTGATGAGTCAGTACCCAGTTTGTAAGTTGTTCCCTCTGAATCAACATGAAAAATGATGCAAACTTTCAATATGCCAGAAACATCAATATAAGGAAACAGTGAGAAGGACAGTTTTGAAGGCATCTCTGACACTTCTTCTCTCCCCTCTACGTGTGTTTATGATAATGAATGAGGTGCCCTCGCTTGGGAGTTTCCTCTGCTCATTTACAGAATGTGAGTTGCTGCATTAAGCACTTAGGTCACTGCTTAAAAGTAGTGCTTTTGAAGTTCTCTTTACAGTCTGTGGCCTTGGCTGAAATGAGAATACTGAGTTTGTCATTCATGATGAAGTCATTTCCTTTCTTGATTGAGGCAATAGATTTTTAACCTGGCTGACGTTGTGAGACCAAATAACCAGAGAAGACAGCCCCTCCCTCAGGGAGAATCTATCAGAAAAATGAAAGGAAGGGAGGGAGGGCGGGGAAGAGGGAATGAGTAAAGACGAATCCCTATTCCACTGCCTAGGTGGTACATTTAAGGACTAAAGGATGAGCTCTGTTTATTTTAAGTACATTTCCTGCCTTTGGTTATCTTAATGTATTCAACATAAAGTTTTCAATAGTAATCTCATGCCTAAGGTCACCAAAGGACAACCAAAAAAGAATGATGCAAAAGTCAAATACTTTATCATCATATGGAACACAGAGTGAGGCCATTCCCTTGGACATGATAGTGAGAAAACCTACTCTAATGATAATAGCTGTCCCTTGCTTGGGACCAGCCGTGCTCCAGTACTGTTCTAGGCACTGACTCTCACCTCTCAACATACAGTAACTTGTTGCATCCCCAACATCCCAGTGAAGTAGATAATGTTTTATTATTCCCATATGACAGAAGAGGACATCGAGGCACAGAGAAGTTAGGCAATTTTCCCAGTGTCACGCAACTTATAAGATAAACATGGAATTTATCTTCTAAAATGAGAATTTTGAGAGTAATAGGAGATGCTATTCATACTTACACAAAACTGCAGGGGTAAACTGGGCCTGGCCACTAAAACTAAAACATTATAGTTAGCTTAAAATATCAGGGATTTGAATCCAGGGGCCAGATACAGAGCCCACACTTAGGCCCCTCTGGTAAACTGCCGTTTTCCTCTCATGGCCCTCATTTGCCCATTCTGCTCATTCCTGCATCATTCATCCCTGCACTCTTGCTCTCTAGTCTTTTCCTTCCACCTGCCTTCCATTCTTGTCCATGGTGCAACTGATGTATCAAATTAACTAACTCCAGCTTGTAAGTGGACCATTCATGTTAAAAGGGTGAATAACACAGAGTCACCATCCTCCTCCTCCGGGACCTCCATAAGGGCAAAGGGCTAAAGCCTCATGATTTTCCTCGGGAAAAATTAGAAGCCATACCCTGCTTTGATGAACCAAAGGAGGCCTCAGTGGTTACAAAAAAGCAAAGACAAACAAACTGCTCATGTGCTTTTAGACCCATCTGCAAAAATTCCCTCTGCTTTCTGATGAGTAAAAATCTATACTGAACCTGAATCCTTTGAGAGCTTGGCCAATAGCAGACATGATGCTCTCAAAGGAATTTTATGCTGTATAACCAAATTTGAAAGGAAAGTATTAAAAATGCAAAATTAAAGTGCAGCTGGTTTTCCTTCAAGGTTTATCAGTGATGAGTCACCTATTTTTATTGCATAAGAAATCAAATCTAGTGTTGTAATAAAAACACAATACAGTGAATTTAGGGTAATTCTTGGAACATTCAAGATGTGCCTCTTTGTTCAGGGACACCGTGTCCTTTGAAGTTTCTTCTAAGCACTTTAATCTTCTGTAAGAAAGGCATTTTCTCAATTTTTAAGGAAAGATGCTCTATCATCCAAATGCCCACAATGACTGGTTTTAATGCAGCAATTATGACAGAAGCAAAGTATGTAGGTTGTGCACTTAACCCTTTGCATATATGTCCTATGTGTCACACTATGTGTCAGCACTGGACACATAGTTACTTGAGACAGAGTTTAAGCATTCGTTTTTAATCTTATCTCTTTGGTATTCACTTAACATACGAGCTTCCCAGATCCCTAAAGACCATAACTGCATCTAAATTTTACCTAAGGGTTTTGGACAGTTAAACTCGGTGAAGAAGGGAAGGAATTGAAGATTGGATCGGTCCAAGTTATTTTTGCTATATGGAAATAGGTTTTCTTGTTAATCACTGCAGGGTCATGGAGAACCACAGTGTCATCTTAGGCATCTTCCTAGGTAGGTTTAAGGTAAAGATGTGCAATTTTAAATACTGCATATTTTAAAGAACACATATACTGATATCTTGAAGGCTAGCATTTGAATCTCATCAGTCTATGAAGGCATATCCCTTTTTATAATGTATTTATTGAAAATATCATCTTACTTTAAGAACTACACTTCTACTAAAATTAATGAATAAATTTTTTTATGTACTTCTTATGCTCAAGACTATGCAATGTAAAGGATTTCTTGCGTAAATTAAATAGTGATCCTTATTGATTTTTATATTCCCTTAATCTAGACTATATTCAAAAGTACAATCTAATCTATAGTCGTAATTTAATGGCCAATGTGCGTCTAATTGAAAAATGAACGCATTTCATAAAGTGAGATACATGTGTGTATAATTATATCATTTTTATGTATTTAAGAATATGGTATTAGACTAGCATTTAGTCAGGATAAAGTGATATATAGTTGGTACAGAATATGGTCCCTCCATTTGTTATTTCTTCTTTTTGTTTGTTTTCTATCCAATGTGTACAGAAACAGAAGAATTCTTAGACCTCAGGGCCCAACAATTTGTCTCTCGTTTATTTTCCTTTATAATAAAAATCAGTTGTGTGACAGTCAGAAAAACCTTCATTTCTTTTCATCAGTTTTTAGGCAGAGAGGTGAAATAAATTTTCTCTAAACACCAAGACAATGAAAGTCAGATTCAAAGAATTTGGAAGTAGATGGACTTAGTTTGCATATAGAATCAAGCTCAGGGACCTTCAGAAAGAACGTGTTGCCAATGTGACGATCTGCCCATCTATGTGTGGTGGAGGATCTGGACCCTTTAGGACACGTGAACTGGGTTATTGATGAACAGTAAAGACCTTATTGTTTGAAAAATTAAAGAAACTAAAATAATTAGAGATGTTATCCAAAAACAGCATTTAACATCCGTAACTAATGTATGTGTTACCCAGCACCGTCTTCCCGTCAATATTTAGTTACAAAATCCTTTTTAAGCCTATTATGTCAAATTACAGGCCAAATGAAATTCCATCCGATGCTGATAATGGATGTGCGTAATAGCCTGAAAGAGTTTTAACGAAGTACAAGAATACATAACCAATTTAATTTGGAACTAAGCCAATGGTGCAGTAATATATTTATACAATTAATATTGTTAAATTCTTACTTTCATCCTCTCTTGGTCTAAATTACACGTTTCTTTAGAATGAAATCCACTTATGAGGAGCCTAATGGTTATTTGCTTTAGCTTTCTTATTGTGACAGCTTTTAGAGTTGCCCCATCATCTTTCTCTTTAAATCTTCCATGGGACACCTGAAACTAACATGCAACAAGTATGGACCTATGTAAAAGTTATACAGATCACATTTCTTAATTGAAAATGTGTATAATCAATAAGTGACTAAGTATTTATCTTCATAATTTTATTATATGTAGTTTTATATATATATGTGTGTATATTAATAATAAAATAGTGGATATATATAATGAAAAATATATTCAGCCATTACCAAACATATCGTTCATTAATTTTCTCAATATATATGTAAATACTGCCAGTAAAGACTGAATTCTCCATTCAGATATATACATTTATTACTTTCGATAGTGGGCGTACATTTTAAGAATTGCTTGTTATTACTAATCTATTTGTTGGACATTTCTGCATGTCATATTGGCTCTGTAGTTATGGCATTATGGGTGCTTCATTATTTGAATTCTGATAGTTCTGTCTCCCTGAGCAATATGGCTTTGGTTTCCAAATCTTCATCGTACCTCATCTAATCCATGAAAAATTTGTTCCAAAGACAATGTTCAGATGTAAGTGCAGAAAATTTGTTCTGAAGACAAAGTTCAGATTGAGATGCAAATTTCAGTCTATGAATCAAGTGTGTTAAAATATTTCAAAATATTTAACAAAAAATACAGTATGGGCTTCTAAAAATTGCGATGGAGGCCAACCATCAACAACTAGTGTAGTGATACTTGCTGGTACTCTGAGAATATCCACCCCACCATTGACCATCATTGTATGATTCCAGCTGAAAGCAACAAAAACCTAGATTGACAAGTAAAAGAATCAGCAATCTTAATGAATATTGCCTAATAATAAGAAATGTCTGTTTTGTAGCTCTGATAAATATAATTTGGGCTCAACGTTTTATTTTGAATATGCTGCAGGGTTTAATTTGATCGACTTTGATTACACTGAAAGATTTTAGTTGATGTTATTACTTCTTTTTTTAATAGTGGCCAGCATTCAGAAGCTTCCTGCAGCCTCTGTTCTAACAGACATCAACTTCCCGATGAAAGGTCGGAAGGGAATGGTTGACTGGGCAAGAAACTCAGAAGACAGGGTAGTCATTCCAAAAAGCATTTTCACTCCAGTGTCATCAAAAGGTAAATATGTGAAATAATTTAAGCTGTGAACAAAACATTTCTGATAAGATCATTTAATAAAACACTAGGTATAAATCTCCATGCATTAAACAGTTTAGAAACAGTCTGCGGTCTTCACTCTCAACTAGTTTTGTGAATACAGAAAACTTACATTTGGTCTTTAAATCTCTGAATTCACTGGAGGAAAGGATCTATTAAAACAGAAAAAAAATACAAGTGCAAATTACAGACCTGAGCTTGACATGGTAAGTTTCAGCATTGATAGTCTCATTCCCGTGTACAGCATGTGGCCTAATATTTTAACTTTAGGCGTTGAAACCTGTTGTGTTTTCCATGCAAAGTCATTTATATTTCTGCCTCACATTTGCTTTGGTTTGAAGATATTATTTGGGTATATAAAAAAGAATTGAAGAAAAAATTAAGTTTTAAGAACATCTTCAGTAGCCTCTAAAATTAATGGCTATTTTCAACAGTGACATTGTGGTCTTAATTCTTACTTTGGAGATTTTGATCTTATAGCTTAGTGCTCCAGACGAGAATTGGCTCTCTTTCCCCCATCATTGGGAATTTAAACTCCTTAGCTGCAACTAAAGCAGCTTCTTGTCTCAACGTGATGAAAGAGGGTTCTTCCTGACACAAAACCACTGACCACACATCTTCTAGAACTATGATTAATGTGGGGGTATGGGAGCTGGCATGCCCCATGCATGGTTAAGGAGGCATTTCTTCTACCCAGCTTTGCATCAGCAAATCCTGGAATCCCCTTGTAATTAGCAGATTAAAGTTTTATAAGACATAGTATTTTTCTTGTTGTTTCACTAATATTTTTTAATTCTATTCCTTCTAGAATTAGATGAATCATCGGTATTTGTTCTTGGAGCAGTCCTGTACAAAAACTTAGATCTAATTTTGCCCACTCTGAGGTAAGCTACGAGGTAATAAGCTGTTGTAATCTTTGTAAATTATTCCAAAAATGTGATTATAGCTCATTCTATGAAAATAGTCACACAGGCGTTAGTAATAACAAAGGGTTTTTTTCTTAAATGAAATAGAAAATGCCAATTTAATGAACAGCTTATTAGCATATTATGCATTTCAAAACAACCAGAAAAGACAATTTGGTCTCTGATTATAGCCCTGCAATTCTTTTGTAACTAATCATGACTTGCCTTAAGACTGAGAAAAAAAAAGTAAGAAAAAGAAAAATCTCAAGTCGCTGTAACAGAATGGGTCATATTAAAATTAATCTCTCTCCTCTCTCTATTTGTACGTAATGGTGCTCTTCATCAGCGTTACATGGAATTAGAGTTGTATCCTGATGACTAGGAATACATGGTTTTGTTCTTCATTTGCACAAGATCTTAATTGGCTTCTGAATAAATATTCAATTACAAACACATTAAGAAAAAATGCTGTTGTTCGATTAGAGGACTATTTTTGGAAGAAACCCATTGATTTCTTTCCTCTGAGACATTAAAAGAAATAATTACAAATAGTAATTCCACCAGCATTAATTTATTTGCTCTACTGTCTTAACTGCTTTAACAGATCTCACAGAAAACATCATTCACATCTGTTTGGATAATGATGCTATCACTCACTATGACCCGTTTCCTCCAGGTCACCTCATTTTGGAGGACTGAGATAAAGTCGTTTTTTAGTTAAACACAGCCGTGTGCAGTGAGCTCTTACTCACACCCTCATGAATAAAGCTTCACGTTTTTTGAGAGGAGAGACTGTGAATGATGTGTGCAGTTATACCGGGGGCATTACAAATGGTCTAATAAATAAAAACAATTCGAGTTAAGTCCAGGAGGAAAAGGCATCCCAAGGAAGCTGCAGTGACTAGTCATGATTCTTTGGAGAAAATCTTTCTGTGTGCAGCAGGTTATTAATATAGTTGGTGAGTCATCACCATGAGAGTCCCTCTCGATGAGATGCAGGTTCTCCTTCAACTACAGACTGTGGGAAGTTTAGCTTTCTCTAACTCCCTTTGTCTCTGGATGGAATTTGGGCTTTCTGAATTCAAGTTGAATCACAAACTTGAATAGGTTTGTGTTTGGTTTTCTTCTACTAATAATAAATTTTCAAAACTAATGTTTACTCTCAGTGTTTCCACTGGTTTTATTAAAACACATTGGCATGTACAATTGCTCATAGATAAAATGGATTTATAGTGACACTGCCTCTATCTTTGTGTATGATGTTCATTTGAGGAGAAATGTGTCAAAGTTAAAAGGACCCACATACTCAAAGTTAGACACGTACTTCCACAGGGAGTTTGTTTGCGTAAAGCTGATCTTTCAAGAATTCAAGACTAGACGCTGATTTAAAATCAGATGACTTGGGTTTTAATTTCAATTTAACATGAGAAGAATTTTATAAGCTTGTCCAGTCACTCAGCAATCTCTGCCTTCAGTTCCACTTTAGAATAGAAGCACCTTTATGTGAAATATTCACCCTGTTTACTGCTGAGGGATGTAGTCAGTGCAAATAAAATATTCGATATAAATGCTTTAGACTGTGGATTGGTTTCCCTCCTAGATGTCCAACAGAGTTGCATTGTGACTATTCTTGTTTTGTATACCATAGAACTCACTCACCTATACAGTGAAGTCAAGTCCTTCCAAATTTCATAAATTAATGCAGTTAAGGGAATTGGACATTTATCTAGGGATGTCTGCCTTTTTGTAAAAAGAAAAAAAATGCATTTGTTTAGTGTTTTGACATTTTTTTTAAATCATGGCAAAGGCGGTGGTCACCTCCAGCTTATGGGCAGAATAATGGATACGTTGTGGGTGATTTAATGGCTGAAGCAGGGGATGGCCCCCTAATACCTCCTGTGACTCAAAGGGACGCAGATTAGCCCTCAGCAAGTGGCTGACTTTTCTTATATGCAAATTGTGGGGATTGAACTCAAAGCTCTTCCCAAATTCAAAAATTCTCTGTCTTTATTGCAATAAAACTGTAGTTTCTGACATATTCTTTAGCTTGAAGTCCTTAGTAACCTTTATATAAGAACTCCGAATATATATACCTACTCATACTTTCTACTTATAAAGCAATTAGGTAAATGACTATAGGAAAACCATATTCACATTTAGATTCAATGACCAGAAATAATGACGATAGAACTCTCGGGATGAAACATTAAGTACTATTTGAAAGGTGAAATATTAGCATTTACTTCTTATTTTCTTTTACTTCATATTTTTTGGAAAGTAAAATAATGTAACTACTGAGCATTCTCATTCTCAGGTTTGTTTTTTCCCTTTTCAAAAAATTGCTCCAGAAAGTTGAGCGAGTAACTGTGCCAATTATAGATCTGCTAAATACGGATAAGCCTTTTCAAGGGCAAGGGTGATGTCTTTGTTTTACAGTCACTCAGCAAACATTTACTAAGCAACAACCCTGCTAACCGTACTGCCTTAATTCTTCCAAATCTTTACTGTCAAAACTCTCAGAACAGTGCTTAATAAATAAGGTCCAAGAAATATTTGCTTAAATATTTAATTGCCTCATCTGTAGGCTATTTTTAAAAATAAGGTACATAGAAATTTAGTGTTTATACTATAAAAATATTTTAGAAGTTTAGTGTTTATACTATAAAATATTATTTTATAAAAATATTTTAGAGGACTAAAATATATATTGTTGTTTTACTGTATAAATTTGACTGTGTGACTTGAACTCAATAGGAAAAGAAATGTCTTCTTATTACATGAAAGAATATATACAAATTTGCTCTATATGTTTAGCTATTATTTACCAAATTTTCATGAAACATTTTTCTCAGTGATCATTTTACTAATTATCGGTTGAAACTTTTGGAGCCAAGTTTTCCATACACAGAATAATGTTAGGCTTGCTGTTAGCTTTCCAGAAATTTTATGTTTTGATGTAATTATTTTCAAAACAATACTTTGCATAAATTCCCTCATGGAGACTAGGAAGGAGAACTTGATGTGGTGTTTTGAATAGATGAAATTTAGAAATTTTCCTATAGTCTCGATACTAACCCCTTATCAGATATGGGGTTTACAAATATTCTTTCTTGTTTCATAGATAGCCTTGTCACTCTGTTGATTGTTTCCTTTACTGCACAGGTTTTAAGTTCAATGTAGTATTATATGTCTATTTTAGCTTTTGTTGCTTGCGATTTTGGCGCCATATTAAGGAAGTCACTGCCAAGTTCAATGTTTTGAAACTTTTCTTCTAGGAGTTTTATAGTTTCAGGTCCTATGTGTAGGTCTTTAATACATTTTGTGTTAATTTGGTATGTGGTGCAATGCAACAGCCCAACTTCGTTCTTTTGCATGTTGCTTTGATCTATGTGTCTATCATCTCTCTTTATGTCAGTTACCATACAGTTTTAATTTACTGTAGCTTTGTAATGTGTTTTGAAATCAGGAAGTGTGGGCCTCCAATTTTGTTTTTCTTTCTAATGATAGTTTTGATTGTTTGGGGTCCTTTCATATTCCATATGAATTTTAGGATTTTTTTTTTCCATTTCTGTGAAAAATGCCATTGAGATTTTCATAGGGATTGTATTGACTCTGTAGATCACTTTGGTAACACGGACATTTTAACAATATTAAGTCTTCCAACCCATGAACATGGAATGTCTTTCCCTTTATATATGTCTTCCTTAATTTCTTTCAGCAATAGTTTTTGGTTTTCAGTGTACAAGTCTTTCACCTCCTTGGTTAAGTTAATTCCTAAGTATTTAATTCTTTTGGATACTATTGTAAATAGAATTGTTTTCTTAATTTCCTTTTTCTATTATTTAAAGTTAGTGTGTAGAAATGCAACTTATTTTTGAGTGTTGATGTTGTATTCTGTAACTTTACCAAATTTGTTTCTTAATTCTAATTGATTTTTTGTGGAATCTTTAGGGTTTTCTGCATATAAGATCATGTCATCTGTGACCAGAGTTAACTTTGCTTCTTCTTTTTTGTTGCCTTTTATTTCTCTTTCTTTCCTAATTGCTTTGGTTAGGATTTCCAGTACTATATTGAATAGAAGTGGTGATGGATGGTATTCTTGTCTTTTTCCTGATCTTACAGGGAAGGCTTTTAGTTTTTCTCTACCAAGTATGATGTTAGCTGTGGATTTTCATATATGGCCTTTATTATATTGAGGTACATTACTTTTATACCTAATTTGTTGAGAATTTTTGTCATGAAAGAACATTTAAATTTTTCAAATGCTTTTTCTGCATCCACTGAGATGATCATATAGTTTTTGTCCTTCATTCTGTTAATCTGGTGTATTACATTGCTTTTCGTATGTTGGACCACCATCACATCTCAGGGATAAATCCCACTTGATCATGGTGTATGATCTTTTTAATGAAATACACAGTATTGTTGAATTCTGTTTGTTAATATTTTGTTGAGAATTTTTGCATTGATATTCCTCAAGGATATTGGTCTGTAGTTTTCATTTCTTGTGGTTTCTTTGTCTGGTTTTGATGTCCGGGTAATGCTGGCCTCATAAAAATAAGTTTGAAAGTGTTCCCCCCTCTTCAGTGTTTTGGAAGGTTTTGAGAAGAATTGGTGTTAATTATTCTTTATATGGTTCGTGGAACTCTTCAGTGGAGCCATCTGGTCTTCAGGTTTTTCTTTTTTGGGAGGTTTTGGATTACTGATTCAGTCTCCTTACTAGTTATAGGTCTGTTTAGATCTTTTTTTATTTTTTCATGATTCAGTCTTGGTAGATTTCTAGAAATTTATCCATTTTTCTTACATTATCCAATTTGCTGGCATATAGTTTTTCATAGTAGTCGCTTATGATCCTTAGTATTTCTGTGGCATCAGTTGCAATTTCTCCTCTTCATTTCTGAATTTTATTATTTGAGTTTTCTCTCTTTTTTTTCTTAGTCTAGGTAAGAGTTTGTCAATTTTGTTGATTTTTATCCAAC